AACATTTATTGAGCACCTACTATGCACCAGGCACTGTGTTAGGAGCTTGAATGTGAACAATAAATACAATAAATATAGTGTATGATAAATATGTTTTATGCCCTTGAGAAGTCATTCAGAGAGCAAAAAGCCAATAACAAGTGAATATGTAGCACAAGTATGTATTGCTAACACATAAATACAAAATGTATTATAAATACTATATATGTAAAGCAGCCCACACTGATGTAGTCACTTAAAAATAATATATGAAATAATATATGAAATTCAATATATTTAACGTGCTCTGACATATAACATGGATGTTTTAAAATTAATTTAAGATTAATTTTTCACAGTGATTATATAAGATCATTTATAACAACTTAAGCTTTTTGGTATTTGGGCCAAATGAGTATTTTTTTGTCACCACATTTTAGAAGAAAATTTAGGCAATTATCAGAATTACCGTCAGTCAAGGGCAGCCTTAGAACAGGCTAGTGAGGCCTGACGAGGGAGGTTGTTGGGCCTTTCTTTGGATCTCAGAGGTGGCCCGGACCTCTCCTCTTGGCGGAGGCAGATAAACACAGCAAGCATCTCAGCCTTCTGCTACCCTCGAGAGCAGAGTAATTGATTGATGACATTTTCAATCAAGGTGGGTTGGCTAGAATCAGCTAGGTTTGGCTGGCTGAACTGTGTTGTGCCACAGTGGTGTATTAGTGGCTTTTAACAATTCCACACAGCCCACTTTGAATTCCTGTCCTAAGGAGCTGCCTTCAACAATGCTCGGGCAGTGTGGCGGCCAGTGCTTCTCTAGCCGACTCTTCCCTGCTCCTATCCTGGACAGTTGGTTAATTGGTGAAGTGTTCTGAGTGAGAATCTGGTGGCCCAGGTGTTTCACTGGCTTTAGTTGTATTCTTATCATAGATATACTTTATTTTACTTTTGTAAATATCTTGGGAATTGTCTTTCTAGCACAACTGGCTTCTTTGGGTTAATCTTCTATGGATTGGCATTTATGGACGTTGCTGTTTTGTGTAACATGATCCTGTCCCTGTCTACATTTACTTTGTGCATGCACAAACACTTAACTACATACATGTTAGTCAGCTTCCCAGCACTGTTACAAATACCCGAGAAAATTAATTCAAAGAAATAAGATATATCTGGACCCATACTTTTGAGGATCTGAGTTCATGGCCTGGTGTCTCCGTGGCTGTTGGGCCTGTGGCAAGGCAGTAAGTACATCATGGCAGGGGTGCATGGTAGAACAAAAATGTTTACCCGGCCCTGGATGTGGACCAAGAGAGTTGAGGTACCACAGTCCCCTTTGAAGTCATGTCCTTGGTGTCCTGAAGACATCTTTTGAGACATCTACCAATTCCTGCCACCTACCAATATTGCCAAACTGATGACCAATCCCTTTGCAGATGACCAATCCCTTTGCGTACTTGGGGGACATTCCAGATAGAAACTCAAGAGCGCAGTGGCAGATGCATCTAAAGTGAACAGATCATACTCCCTTTCGGGCTTTCCCGGTGATGTCAGGCGTTGATGTTTGCATGAGCAAGTGGTGTCTGTCTCAGTCTGTTTTGTATTGTTATAAAAACACCCTGGACTTACTGCTGGGAGATGTATAAAGGAAAGGTGTGCACTTAACTTACAGTTCTAGGGGTGGAAAGACCAAACAAGACGGTCTGGTGTTTGTGTCTGGTAAACTCCGTCCCTTTCCCTTCTACATCAGCACATAGTGGAGAAACAGAAAGGGAAGGCCACAGCATGGGGTGGCCTTGATATGACGATCTACTCTCGTGAGAAGGAACCCAGTCACAAGCGATCTATCTGTTCCACTTCTGTAGGATGGTGTCCTCTTTTCTTGAAGGTGAATTCTCTATGACCTAACTCCCTTTTCCTAGGCCCCGCCTCTTAAAGCTCCCCCAACAGTCATCCTCAGCACCGCCATCCTTGTTCTCAGCGCATAAACCTTGGGGGACAAACAATATCATGAACTTGAGTAGTGCTAACTCAAGATGGGCCAGTTAGAGTCTTCTGTACAGAAAACAGGAGAGCAGATACCCAGAGAGTCATCAGTTGCTCTAGGCTAGAGCTGCGGGATATAAAAATCTAGCAGCTGTGAAGGTCATATTTCTTTCATACAGAGAAAAGCAGACTTTACGAAGAATAATGAAATTGACAAGCAGCGTAAGACAGAGAAACACATGGATGATTCTTACTGAATGCCCTGGTTCCAGTAATTGCTAAGGGTGACCTGTATCTGCCCTTTCAAAGGTGTGATGTGCTTGTCAAAACAAAACAAAACAAAACAAAAAACAAAACAAAACAAAACCTTTAAATTGAACTAGTCAATATCCTGTCACTATAACAACAACAATAACAAAATGCAAATAATTAATTAATTCATACAGAGGATAGTTTGTTTGGGCTCATGGTGTTAAAGGTTTCATCTTGACTGATTACTCCTACTGTTTTGTCCCTGTGGCAAAATAGCACATCATGGCAGGGATTATGTACCAGAGAATAAAAACTGCTTAACTCTGGAGTCAGGGAGCAAACAGAGGAATAGGAGGGTCTCTCTTCTCCAGTGATCCACTTTGACAGCATCATCAGTAACGTAAAAGCTTTGTGCTAGACTGCATCTCCCAAAGTTCCCATCACGGCTCAGTAGCATTGCTCTGGGGCAAAACCTTTAAATCCCTGGACCTTGGAGGATTACCCAGCATCCAGACTGCAGGACTGAAGCTGGCTTAATGCTAATTCCTGCGTTAAGTCTTTGCTAACTTTTCTTTTTTGTTATAGTCTAATTTATGCAGTTGTGTGGGAAAAAATATATATGTATGGCGCCTAAAATCTTTATGGAAGCAATGACATTGTAAATCTCTCCAAATTGAGGAGAACAAAGCACATGATTCTGTTTATACCTGATACTGTATGTGGACTAAAGAAAGGTTTCAGGGGCAAAATCAGCAGAGATGAGCATTGTCCCCAGCTCACAATTTTCCTAAAATGTTTGGTAGTAGAGCCATTCTCAAAGTTAGAGACCCAAGATTTGGAAAAATGTATGTTGTTCTTAAGTAGTGTCTTCCTACAACATTTCTATCTCTGCCATTTAAAAATGATGTGTTGTTATTAGTGCATGCCACGGCACACATGCGCAGGTCAGAGGACAACGTGAGGAGCCGTTTTCACCTTCCACCTTATTGAGGTGGGGTCTCTCTCTTCTTGTGTCTGCTGCTATGAGGCAAATTCCAGACTAGTTGGCCAGCAAGCTTACAGGCAATTCTGTATCCACCTTCCATCTCTCCCTAGGAATTCTGGGATTGCAGAAACATGCCATCATATGTGGTATTGTATTCCCCCAAATAATGTGCACACTAATAAACTTATCTGGGGTCAGAGACAGAGCAGCCACAATATTAAACATAGAGGATAGGCAGTGGTAGCTCATGCCTTTAATCCTAGCATTCCAGAGGCAGAAATCCATGTGTTCAAGGATACAGCCAAGCATGGTGACTCATGCCTTTAATCCCAGGTGGTGGTGGTAGAAAGCAGAAAGATATATAAGGTGTGAGGACCAGAAACTAGAAGCTTTTAGCTGGTTAAGCTTCAGGTTTTCGAGCAGCAGTTCAGCTGAGAGCCATTGGGATGAGGACACAGAAGCTTCCAGTCTGAGGAAACAAGACCAGCTGAGAAGTTGGCCAGGTGAGGTTAGCTGTGGCTTGTTCTGGTTCTCTGATCTTCCAGTTCACCCCAATACCTGGCTCAGGTTTGATTTTATTAATAAGAACTTTTTAAGATTCCTGCTACAATCCTATCTGGCTTTTTACATGGTTTCTGTAACAGGGATGGGATTGGATTGAATTTGGGCTGCCAGGCCCATGCAGTACCCACTTTTACCTGGTGAGCCATACCCCAGCTCATGTTTCAGACATGTTTTGAGACATCCGGGCTTAATGCCTAATAACAGTCCTTTGCATAGTTGAACTGTCAGTAAGTGCTTTTGAATGAGTGCAGGGCCACAGATTTGAAGATCAGAATATTTCGTTTAACTAACTTTAGTTACATAAATTATTTAACTTTTACCTTAATTTTTCTGTGTTAAACAGATATTGATATATATAGAACATACACAAATTCAACTTGACATTTTGAAATTACTTCTAAGATTCTATTGTTTATCATTGAGAATTATTCTTTATTTTTATCCAGTGTTGATTCTTCAAGGGTCTAAAATGAAATCAGCACTTGCCCATTAGCAAGCTGTCACACCCTAAACCTGCATGACCATGGAGGAGCTGACCTCACAATTGCTCCATTCCTTAACCCTCCATACACCATCAAGAGCCACAGCACTCAATTTTATCTTGATCACATTGATTGCCATTCATAAAGATATTTCATGACTTTTTCTTTCCAGGGGGCCAAGAGAAAATGTATTCAATTTCCTTTAATAGACCAAAAATCTAGTGGATGTTATATGATCACCGTATATTCCCCTGGGGTCCTTTATCATTCTACATTACATTATAAAATTTTAGTAATATTTTTTCCTATTTGCAATTTCAGTATGCTAAGAATGACTTTATTATTACTCATTTCACAAAATGCTAAAAAATGAAAATAAGCAAATGGAATAATGAGAGAATTCCTTGGAAGAAGAAAAATAAGAAATCTTGTTCTTTCAAGTTTTGGTTTTGCCCCAGCGTTTCCTAAAGCATTACATCAACTAAATACAGGGGAGAAGGGGCTGGAGAGATAGCTCAGCGGATAAGAGCACTGGCTGCTCTTCCAGAGGAACCAGGTTCAATTCCCCACACCCACATGACAGTTCACGACCACCTGTAACTCCAGATCTAGGGTAACTGACACCCTCTTCTGACCTCCATGAGCACCAATTAGGCATGTGGTACACAGACAGACATTCAGACAAAACACCCCGTACACATAAAATACAACGATAATGACAAAAATAAGTAAAAATAGGAAATAAGGGAAGTGTGGAAACACTGCCTTTTTTAAAGTTTTTTTTAAACATAAAGACATAAAGTTTGTCATTTTCTTTGCATTGTAGCAAATTTAGGCCACTAATGGCGCACAACAATCTTGTGGGGAACAGGAACAAATGCAGATGGGCACAGCAGTGATGCTGATGAGGTTGCTCAGAGATGCACAGCCTCAGGTGTGACTCTATAGATGAGATATTCTAGATGACATCAGTCCCACAAATGGGCAGTTCACTCCTAAGGACAAAAGGAAAACATGGCCTCATCACTAGATTCAATAGCAAAGGCATAACCAAATAACATCTTTGATATGATCCCAAATCTTTCTGTTCTTGCCAAAAGGATGCTGAGCATGGTTTGCATTGCTTTAAAATTTATTTGGCATATAGCTTTTTAAGTAAATGAATGTCAATAGCAAGTGTGCTTACATAGAAAATTGAAAGACAGGCTAGATAGAAATATAAACAATTGAGCTAGTTGCTTTCATAAATTAAGAAACATTTTTCCCCTTATGGAAGAGAAAAGATAATAATCTTGTAAAAAAAATCTGATTTGTTTTAACATCAAAAACCATACCACCATCATCAACAACAACAACAACAACAATAGAACAACAAACCTGTGAATGTGGTTCATTTGGGAGAATGCTTGCTTATAGTATGCATGATACCCTGGGTTTGAGCCTTAGGACAAGACAAACCTAGGGTAGTGGTGCGCCCTATGACCTGAGCACTTGGGAGGTGGAGGCAGGAGGATCAGAAGTTCAAGGTCTTCCTCAGCTACATAGTGGACTGGAAGCCAGCCTGGGATGTATAGGACCTTGTTTCAAAAGCGATGATGATGATGATGATGATGATACAAATCTGTCACATTTTAGAGGATGTTAGTGATTAAGCAGTAGGAAAGTAAGACCCTTCACAGAGGTGTTTGAAATCTGGAATTCAAATTCACAGTGTAGGTAATGCCACAGGCTCCTGCAGGACAGGCCTGAGCAGTTAAATTTCATCTTTAAAATTTTAGTTATATTTGTTTATTTAGTGTGCGTGTGAGCATGTGTTTCAAATGCACGCCATAGTACATGTTTGAAGGTCAAATGACCACATTAGGAATCAAGTCTCTTTTTCCACATGTGTGTCCTGGGGACAGAGCTGCTCACTGGCTTGGTGGCAAATGCCTTTCCCCACTGAGACACCTCTCCTTCCATAGCGGTCCATTTTAAAGACTGCTAATTTTAAATGTTGCGGTTGGATCCCCCAAAGGTCTGTGTGGTGAAGACTGGCTGCCAGCTGAACCAGCACAGTTGTGAGAGTGGTAGAACATCTGTGTGCTAGTGCAGGGAAGTCAGAGCTCTATAGGCTCACCTTTGGCAGGGACACTCGGACCTCAGGCTCGCTCTTCTCTTGCTCAGTTGCCAGAAGGTGGGTGGTCGTGTGTTACATGTGACTAGCCTGGGGAGAGGTCAAAGTTCAGAGTATGCTTTCTTCTGAATATACATTTCTTGTATATCATCATAAAGGTGAACATTGTGGCTCAGGTTACTGTAAGTCAGGTGTGTGTGTGTGTGTGTGTGTGTGTGTGTGTGTGTGTGTGTATGGTGTGTGTAAAAGGCCAGAAAGACTCTCATGAAATCCGTGATTATTTCTAGGGTGTGGGAATGACAGTGATGTGTAGTGGGTAGCCATTCCAGCTTGGATCTGGAAGTTCCAACCCCCATTGAGACTCTGGCAACTGTCACGCCTACGAGGCGGAGCCAAGGGAGGCATCTGGAGACCCGAGACCTGGATGGGCGAGCGCTCTCTCTGTTCCTGGACCCTACGGTGGAGGTTGACTGAGCAGAGCTCCAGAGAACACCGCTGGACTGTGATACATCTTCCCCCCGCCCCGCAATCTACCTATCCCTTCATTTGTAAGTCACCCACTAAATAAATCTTCCTTTTAACTATGTGGAATGGCCTTAATAATTTCACCAATAGTGATGTGAAACATTTAGTATTGTCATGTTTTTACAAGAAGGTAATAAATACATCCAGAGCCTAAGCCTTTTTTAAGGCAGGACCCAGTTGCTCCGGGTTCTGTTTTATGAGCTGGTGCACATCCTGTGCGTCTCCACACCCGCCTGTCTGTTGTACTGAGTTTGCGATGGACAACTTTTTATCCTAGGGCCAAATACAGTTCTAGACTCTTGGTATGCAATTATCATTTTCTGTTTGAAGCACAGAAAGGCAAAAAAATATATATTTGTTTTTTATTACAATCTGTTTGTGGTGATGGTCTTACACTGTGTAACTTTTCCTGGGGAGAGGTGAGCAAATTTCTACACACCCCAGATAGGACACTGAAGACAAACCAACAAACAGTCCCACTCAAGTGCAGCATCATGAACCAATGGGCTTTACCGGGGCTGAGTAGAGAAGCATCATAACTCAGTGGGCATTACGTCACTGAAAAGTTTACTCCAGAATGGATGATGATAAAACCTTCATCCTTGGATACATCTTCCTGCACTTGCAGGTAGCTATATGGGCTGGAGAGCCCCCTACCCTTGCAAGTCTTACTGCTTATATAACTTTGGCACTGGAGGACACAGTCTTGTAAATCTTGTTAAGTTTTATGGCTTTCCTGAGCCTTGTAAGTTTCTTATATTTCCTGGGTCTTGTATGTTTTCTTTATTGCATCTTATGGATTCCACTCACTTCCCCCTTGCAGGAGATAATGTTTTAATTTGAGAAGCTGGCCACATAGCCAAGAGATACACTGATGGGCTGGTGAACCTTTGGACCAACCATTTCAACAAGGAGAAAAACAAAATAAACAAAAACCTGAGAGTAACTACATCCAACAAATAAATCTGAATCAAAAAACGGATTAGCCGTCATGATATCAAATGTCCTGATATCACATCTTATCAATCTTAAGAGTTAAAACTTTGTGTGGGAAACAACTTCAATCCATCCACGTTATCTGAAACGCTCTTGCTGTGTCTGTTTCTGTGTGTAGCTCTGAGTGCCTTGGGGTTTCCTGGTCTCAGCCAGGCAGTCGTTACTGGAAAAAAACAAAGTCAGATTTCAAATTAATTTTAAGAGAGCAACTCTCTTTTTCGACTTTCAACTCATAAACTTCCTTTGAGTGATCTTGCTTGTCATTCGGCTTGTATGTATTTTTGTGTAGACTTCCAAATATCAGAATCATGAATAGATACAGCAAAATTGCACAACACCAGAATGATGCTAGTCCTGAGTGGTGTGTGTGTGTGTGTGTGTGTGTGTGTGTGTGTGTGTGTGTGTGTGTGTGTTCACTTCTACGAGGTAGTAGTGGCACTTACTCTTTGCAAGAACCAGCAAATGAATTTCCTGGATGCCTGAAGTCCACACAGCAGGCCAAATACTAAACCAATCATTCTAGGCCTTTAGCCCTGCCAAGAGAGTCAGATGTGCATCAGGGACGAGACAGTTCCCAGAAGGATGACCAGCTATCACATGTTGAGGGCACCCCTGCTCCCCAGCTGCTGCCACCCAGCGCCCCAATTGCGAGGCCCAGCAAGAACCTACCCCCAGGCAGGCCAGGAAGAGGCGCGGGAACATAAAACACATTCCAGCGGTTGGCATCTGGGCGCGCAGCAGCCAGGCGCAGTCAGCGTGTGTGTGGCCGCAGGGACCACGGAGGCAGAGCCTTGTCAGAGCCGCCCTGGGGAGCTGGCTGCCCGCAGGTTTGGCTCGGCAGACTCCATCGGGCCAGCTCCCGTGCGAGCTAGCGTCAATCTTATCTCTGAAGTTTGGGAAGTGAGCCCAGGGGGTTGGCATCCTCTCGTGGGGCAAGCGCGTGGAGAGTAGCTTTGGCACTCGGGATCTCTGGGGTGGGGGAGCGCTTCACATACCATGGCGTCTATGACTCAGGCAGGAGGGAAACCCCAGAATTACCACAAAGCCATCCAGATCCTAGCTTGGCCTCACCAGTCGGCTCAAGAGCAGTTCTGTTTCATCTGGTTTCAGGGCGGGTGTTTGCGTCTGTGTATACTTATGCATATTTCTGAGAATGAATTCTTCTCCCGGTTTTCTTCTTTGCAAAGAGACTGGGGGTCGGGGTGGGCAGGGAGCTCGTAATGCCTATTAGAACCTCAAGATACTTGGTTTTCACATGAGAGAGCTTCACAAAGGAGTCCCTAAAATTATCTGGTAGCCGCTTCTCAGCGACGTTTTCTGTGGATTCACTTTAACATTACAGTTCTTTTGAAACTACTACGGTTAAATTAACCAAAAATCTAAATTAAAAAAAAAAATTCGGGGATTCTTCCAGGCCTACTTCACATCATCAAACCAGGCCCCGCTGGAGGCCCCATTAAAATGGCAGCTCCCACTGAGAGAGAGACAAAAGCCCCTCTCTGAATGGGGATGCTGGAACAGTGATGGACTCTCAGAACGGCTTTTTTTTTTTTTTTAATCCATTAAAAAAAAGTTACCTCTGCATTGACTGTGAGAGAGTATTTAGTTAGCTCTCCACACTGTGGGAAATGGAGGCGGTCTCCCTTATAAGGACACCGGACGAATCCATAACATGGCTGAACAAGTTCTTCCTCGCAACTGAAATCGTGGAATGTTTTAGACGTGAACAGCTTAATTTTGGTGTGGTCTGGGACAAATTAATATGACTCAAATCCCACCTCACACAGGAAGCTGATCCCGATGAAGTGGGCGGGGTGAACGCAGTCACTGCCTTCAAAATTCTGGCCAACGTTGTCCCTATTAAATTTAAGTGTGGCTCCTCCTCTATCTCCACAAGAAAGAGATTTGAAAAGGAATAGGGACGTCAAGAACAAACTAAAAATATATCCAAACAGCTTAGCTGTGCGCCAAGAGGCTCAACACATGACTATGTGGTATTTTAGGCTACATGCATGATAGTGAGTTTAAATCTCCTAGAAGACAATCACCCCGACACTTTAGTTTTGGGGCGACTATGCCAAACATGTTCAGTGTTCTCCAGTGCTTCTCAAGAAGTCCAGAAACAGTTATTTCCCTCAGGACTCAGAGGAAAGTGTAGTTCTATGTCCCCGGACTGCTGCTGCCCGGGGAGACGCTAGTCCGCAGCTGGGAAGGTCAGTTACAGTTACGTACGTACTCATTAAAGTGAACGTTGATGTTACCCTCTCCAGGATTCCATCTCTTGACTTTTGCAAGCTTGCGTAATTATTACTACCATATGCACAAGTGGAAGCTTCTGTCAATGTTGGATACATACTTAGGGTTTAAGAAACACTTGCACGTTGCTTAGAAGGAACTAGAGGGGAAGATTACTTTCCAGTGATCAATAATAGAAATAAGTTTTACTTGGCCTTAGAATGAACCCTGTGATTATTCTTTCTGCTAACTTATGCAGGTAATCATGGTGGGTCTGGTTACTGTTAAAATTGGGTTATCTTCCTTAAACCACTGTTAACTAGGAGACATGCCCCCCACCAATATGCATTCTGGTAGATGCCATTTTTGAGATGCCCTTGGGCTGAGGTAAGCAGATGAGGGTGGCAAGACTTACTGAGTATGAAATGCGGCTGGTCCCAGGGGCACAAACCCCTTTGTGTGACAATCTCTGAAGTAGCGGTGTGTGCGCTATCAAACCGGAGTTCTTGGGATGCATGTCTCTGCAGATGGGTCTGCGTAGCTTACAGGGTATTATATTGATTAAGAAACAGTATATCGATAGGAAAGAAATGTAAATGTCAAAACCTTCTCAATAAAAAGTCCAACTGGTGACTGCTTTGAGGTTATGACTCGCAGACCGCTGGAGGCTGATAGAAGATCCTTGCAGACTGTCTCTCAAACGCTTGTTTCCAACAGAAGCGGGTGGGGTGTGGCCTTAGAGTATGACGGGGAAACCTTGGGAGAGGCAGAGGTTCATTCTGAAAACAACCATTTTAGTGTATTTTCTAAGTGTGCACATCTTCTGTGGACGTGAGGAGATAATGACAAACAGAACGGCCGAAACATCACGACACTGGGACTATTTATCAAAGCAGTGCCTACTTGATAAACAAATGAGGAAATAGATGTCTGAGAATTGAAGCAGGAGGTCAAAGGTTACCCAACTACTTAGTGACAAACCCAGGACCCAAATTCATTTTTTCTCCCTGACTTGCAGGCCGCTGTAGGATGCCATTTCCAGAGTCTGGAATGCCTTTGAAATCAGTCTGGGTGACACTCTAATCAATTTTAATGATCTAAAGCCTTTAAAAGTTGACTTGAAACTGCAGCAAAGAACAGCTTTTCACGGCTGTGCTCTGCCACCAAATAGCCGCTGATTCTTAGGGCTATTTTTGTGCCCACAAGTTGATAACAACCATCCCTTAGGCTTATTCAGCCCAGTATGCACGGTTTAAGCACCACCACATGCAGTCTGGAGCTGGACAGAAGACGTGACATCCCTGACCAGTAAATCCCGTGAATGAGTGCATTTTCTCCCCGTGTCTGTCTCCTTCTCGTCCTTTGTCTCCCTTCTTTTCATGCCCGTCAGGCGGTGGCCATGACGGTGCACTTACAAAGGTCAGTCACCCAGCAGCGAGGGCAGGCAGGCCCTGCAGAAGGCGTGCTGATGGAGCATTGCAGGGGCCACTGGATTTGTTAGCTCTCTACCTCACTCCCAGGGCAGGCTACAATTGTTTCCTGTGTGGTATGGCACCCACCCAGAACTCCACGTTATGGACCATTCCAAGCAGGAATCGCCAAACCACAGCCCACAGAATAAACACCTTGAACCTCCCCACGTCAGCGAATGAATTCTTTTACCTGGCATTCCTTCCCATGATTCATGCAGCGGACTCACCAAAATGAGTGAAGGCTCCCTTTTCTCTCATTAACAATAAATGGCGTGGGAGCCCTTTAGGGATTATTTACTACATGGACGGTAAGCCACTCTGTGCAGGCTGCCTTGGGTGGTAAAGTGCTTTGCTGTGTAAGCATGAAGACTTGAATTTGATTCCCAGAGTCCATATAAAATCCATATAAAAAAGCTGGGTGTGGTGGCATGAACCTGTAATTCCAGCATTGGGGAAGCAAGGACAGGCAGGTTCCTGGGGCTCACCTGCTGGCCAGCCCGCCTCATCCGCCAGCACAAGGCCAGGAAAAGACCCCATCTGAAAAAGACAAGAACAGAAACAGTGTGGATGCGGCCTGAGGAACGACCCTGGAGGTTGGCCTCCGTGTGCGTGTAAACACAGGCATGCACTCCTTCCTGCACACACACTAACATCCACACGAAGAAAAACACGTATGAGCCAAGGTTCCCACCTCACACAATATTAGCACACAGACGCGAATCAGATGACTGAAGATATGAACTTAAAAGTAAAAACCAGAAAGTTATTAGAAGGAAGCACAGGAGAACATTAGATCTGTTGTAAAATAAAATAATAGGCTAAAGACAGAAAAGAATTCTACTTTCCATAGCTGATAGAAGTCTCTTTCGGACATGCAGGGTAACTCCTCTATGTTAACAGTTTTAAAGCAGGAATTAAATATACGAACATAGATTTGACAAAAGAAATGGACAAGAATAAATTCTCAAACACCATTAATCATTAAACACCAGAATTAAGAAAAAACAAATTAAAATCCCAGCTTGTGCCACACGAGAAGTCAGTGAGACCATGGAACACCAGCAACTGTACAGGCACCAGGGGGGATACAAAATGGAACCGTCTACAAGCTTCTGATGGCTCATACCTTGGGAAGTTATCCCTAGAAACTAGTCGCTCAGCAACTGCATCCTGAGAGACTTAACCAAAGAAACCCCAAAACGTGTCCACAGAAACAGGAATGAGACTGGTCGAGGAGGCTGGGAGTTCTCGGAAGAGGGCACTAACAAACTTTCAAAAGCGTAGAAATACTGTTTATCCCGCTTACCAAACTCCCTGAATGTACTCGGCATAGTTACTGATCTTGTAAAACCTCTCAAACCAAACCACAAATAGATCTCACAAATGCCACATTTTCATAAAAGCAACATTTTCGTAAAACATGAGGAAAAGAGAAGAACCCATTAGCTAGAGATCCAGAAGTCCCTCTCACTCTATTGGTTTCCTGTCTTGTTTCTATTCTTAAGTTTTTGTTTGTTTGTTTGTTTGGTTTCCCGAGACAGGCTCTCACTGTACAATCTTATGCTGACCTGGGATGCATTGTGCAGCTGAGGCCTGCTGGAGACTGCAGAGAGCATGCGCCAGCGTTTGTATTTTATTACACAGCCTGTTCTGTGAGAATTGTAACGACTTCTAATTCATGGAAAGAGATGTAGAAGTGTGACATCCTGGAGACTCAGGACAACCTGGCATGGAATCCACTTAATAGAAGCCACATGAAATGTGAGACAGGGGCAAAGTCATGACTGTGGTGTGGGCAGCCGCAGCCACCCAATGGGACAGTTTAA